GGCTTTTCTTCTTTCTCTACTTGGTTTTCGACACACACCTAAAACAACCCCACCTCTTTTTTATTAAGTAACTAGGGCTCTGTGTAAAATAAAAGATCAAGGCCCATGGCCTTTACTTGGTCCAAAACCACTTACATGGGACTGGACCCCATTTTCCTAACACTAATCCACAGCAACCCCCCAAACCTCTACAGCAACAACTTTACTAACCTTTTAGGCCACCCCCATCTCCATTGCCTACCCAATTCAATTCGCTTAACCCATGAATAAGAGTCCTTGTCTATGTTCTGTTAATTGTGATCTAGTATAATTCAAGTATCATGTGTTGGAAATAAAATTGTGATCCAAGTACAATATAAATGAAATTGATCAGTTCCTCTCCTAACCAAAAATGTATAATCTGATAAAACATGACACTGAAACAAATTTTCCTTCAGGAATGCCTCAAATTTCTATTGGAACGTACATTATCAGTGACTAACAAAGTGGATAGAGTCCAAATTGCCATGTAGAAACATAAAAAAGATACAGTACTTCATCATTCCCAGCTTCTCCAATTATCTTTTGGCTGGCCACAGTCTTCGATCACAACTGGTTGCAAAGTTCTCCCACTGTCTGAGCCAGCTTTTTCCATCTCCTTGACAACGCTTATCCATCCACTACTTTACCAAACACAACATGCTTTCCATCAGGCCATGGAGTCTTCTCAGTGCAAGTAAAGAATTGGGAACCATAGGTGTTTGGTCCAGCATTGGCCATTGACAAACAACCAGGTCCGGTATGTTTGAGCATGAAATTCTCATCTGCAAATTTCGTGCCATAGATTGAGTCACCACCAGTGCCATTTCCCCTTGTGAAATCTCCACCTTGACACATGAAGCTCGGTATGATTCGGTGAAATGCTGAGCCTTTATGGTGCAAGGGCTTCCCAGACATTCCGAAACCCTCCTCCCCAGTGCAGAGTGTTTGCAATTATATTGTGGGCTAACACGGTCAGTTAATCCGGATTTAGGTCAATTAATTTCAAATTACAAATAATTATAGTGGTATTATGTTGTAATATATTCGAACATGTAGTACGATTTTAATTACATATGATCCTAGTCTAATTTTGTATTTGAATCTATAACATGATGGGTCAATTTTGACTAATATATAAATATATATACGAAGTCGGTCCATCAGATTTTATACTTTTAATTTGAGAGGTAAATAGCAGTTCTCTCCTTTTGTACTATGCAAGCCGTTGATTGAGCACAATAGGCGGCATCGAAAAGCTAATGATGGTAACAACACATCCATGGGCTTGGATTTAAGGGGATTGAGTTCACTTCCACATTAAAAACAGTTTTAGTTATAAATTACGATAGTGATTCGGTAAGCCTGCAGCCAAATTGGTTATAGTTCAATTAGAGCTTCATCTAGTTCAAAATTGGGTCCAAATTGCCGTTGCAATTGCACATATTGCTCAAGGAAAAAGTAGTTAATATTCTTCTTTCCCGAAAAGAAAATAAAAAACCTTGATTGAAAAGAAAACAGAATGGCTGTACTGATAAGGATGTGGTTGAAATATGGACAGAAATCTTATAAATTCGAAAAAATATTTTCTTTTATACCCAAAAATAAAAAGAAACGAGAATACAAATTGGCACAATGACCTTTATTTTCAAGTGTTCTTTTAAGCAACAAAGAAAATAAAACTACTACTAATATATGATTAATATAGATGACAACTCTATGAATTCAAAATAACTAGAAATTGTTATCATATATATATATGTATATATAGAAGAATGAAAATTTGTAGAAATGTTCAACTAGTATGTAATATTATTGTTGGCTAAAATTATGCATAGCACTAAACTTTGATTGTACATCATCTCAAAGATTTACAAATTCACAGACGATGTCCAACAAAAAATTTGGTCCTCCTCCACTATCTCAATTGAAAAGGGAGAAGAAACAAAAAAGAAAAGAAAAAATGTTGGTGTTTGAACTCAATTATTCACCAATAAGGAGTTGCACTCTCAGATATACTTAGAAGCTTCTCCAAATAATCAGCTCCTAAATCCTCAAACACCAGGATATTTTCCCTCCCCATTTCCTCCTTTCTTGATCTTCGTGTTCCCTGATCTTTTGCTCTTCATGGAGTACCTTTTCTCAATTGTCAAAGTAGGTGAACAACTTTCTTCAAGTCCATAGTTCATTTCTTGAAGTGAATCATAAACTGTATCCATTGGAAAACTGAGTATCACCATCGGACCTCGCATTGCGAGTGTAGCTTGATCATACACTAGCTGTAGCCTCAGCTATATCCAACGTTCCAGGCCAAAGCCTAACACCATTCCTTATGGAATCCCTTATCTCAGCTGCCTATTTTCCCCATGGCCTCTTCCTAACTCCTCTATTCTAAACCTCCTTTCCTGTCTCATCTTCATTTGCATTCAAGTTCACTTAATAATCCTTTCTAAAACTATTAACGGATGTGGTATCGAAAGTGTTTTCCTATGCTTGATTTAGGACTCCCAAAGGAAGATTACACGGGAGTCATTTCCATTGAAAGGGTTTGGTTATGGAGATAATTGAATGATTCTAGTGAGAAATTTTTTGAGAAATATAGGAAGAAGAGGATTCAAGAGACAATTGGAGATTTGGGTATTGAAAAAATGAAGAGTCCATGTATGAAAATCAGGTCATTCTTATTATGGAAACGATTCTTCTTAGATCTTATAATTAATTCTCTTTGATTTTGCCTTTTGGTTTTGGTCATAGGAAATGAAATTTGAAGCTCAGTGTTATATATACAGTAATTACAAGCAAGGGAGGGAAAGGCTATATTATTCAAATATTTATTTTTAAAAAGTTTAAAAAAAAGAAAGAAAGAAAGAACAAATTAAAGAAACGATGGAAAGAGAGTAAAATTATATGAACAAGTTATTAGCGTCGAACATCATTATTTAGTCGTTAATAGTAGAATCAACAGCTGAGTCAAAAGGAATACTTGTCGGGGCATTGTGGCCAGATCAAGTTAAAATTCTCTTACATCACCCATGATGTTTCACTTTTATGTCCTGCCTATACCTTATATTTTTAGCTAATTAAAATTGTAAATCACTATGCTTAGAATGATCGATTACAATGTTAATTACCTTATATTGATCAACAAGATTTGATTAATATAGTCAGGTTATAGTTAAATTTGTCGTAATTTTATTTTTTATACAAAATAAATTATAATTTGAGAATTAAAAAAGAATTATAAGTGCATAAATTTAGATTTTAATCCGATTAGAAGTTCTTTTTAAAATATTTGTATAAATCACTTAGATTAGACTTTGAATTTATAAAAAAATTACTTTATATATATATATGCTTTTCATTTAAATTATATAATATAATCATATTATTGACAATGGTTAATTTTAATTTTTCATGTACCACTAATAAGTAAATGCTGTTGAAATAAAAATTTACCTATCTAATAATAACATATAATATAAAATAAATAATCAACATTTTTTAAAATATTATTTTATGGTGTGATTTTAACAAAATAAAAAAGATATATTTTTACATTGAATAGTTATTTCATATAATCCTTCTTTTATTAATTATGTCAAAATTTGTTATAAATAAGTTTCTTAAACTAGCATAATTGATGTTATAATAACTTTTTGAATTGATAATAAGATGAAAAAGTCAGTGGTCACTTTCTAGGTGCCATTATAGGTTGGTTTTACCTCTTCACACAAGTGCTACTTTTTTTTCATTTTTTTTTCTTCAAATTCACACCCTACATAAGCATAACCTTCCAGCCTTAATTGGATGATTTGCCACTCTTTAATTAGTCTCTAATATTTTATTGGCCAAAAATTTTATTGTTCATATATACATTGGTCATTATTTTATATATTTTTATCCATTACTAGAATTTGATCCCATTATTTATAATTATTTTTAATAAAAATAAAATAAAATTTTAACTTATGTAAATCTATCAAAATTAAAAAATATTTAATTAAAACGTCACTAAATTAGCGGCATGTCAAAGATACAAATGCGATTAATATAATGACATTTTTCAAATATAAAATTTTTCAGATACAAACACTATTAATATAGCGACGTTTTATAAAAAACATCCTTATTTTTCATGACGTGTGCATAGGCGACATTCTTACTAGCATTTTTCGCAAACGTTGTAAATTTTTTAGTGACGTTTATAAACGTCGCTAAACGTAAAAAAAAATTATACTAAAAATCAAAATCCTTGTAGTGTACAAATTAAATCTTATAAATATATCAAAATAAAAAATATTTAATTTATTATGGTCACGTTTTTTGCTGTTGGCTTTTTTTGCTATGATGTGTACTTTTATTTTTTATTTTCAAATTTATAAATTATTTGATCAAATCTAAGATTTTTTTAATATATTTTAAATCATAAACATTTTTCAAAACTTTTAGAAAAAGAGAAAGAAAAATGCGACTAAATTTTTTTATGATGATTTAGATTTAAAAGAAAAATACGACCAAAATTTTTTATGATGATTTAGATTTGCGTTTAATTTTTTAATTTTTTTGCCTTTTATATTTTTATATTTATTATTATTTTCAAATTTTTGATAAATAGAATTAAAAAAAATACATAAAATAGGGTAAAAAGACTATTAGGCTTGATTCATTAATGGGTTTGTAGGGTGGAGTGAATTGACAAAAACGGGCTGGTTAAATCCGGCCCATTTCCAAATACTTTTTTTTTTCCCGTAAACTCTACAATTTTTATATAGTTACAATAAAAGCTTTCAATTCCTTTGGATTTATAAAAATTTGTAGTTTTTGAAATTTTACTTCTGAATAAAAAACCAAAATCATAAATAAGACTAGAATAATAAATATTTCAAATTAAATGATTTATAAAAAATTTTATCTTCAACTCATATTGAATTAAATTCAAACATACATATGAGTCAAATTCATTAGCATAATTTTATTTTATTTCAATAAATTACAACATGTAATACCACTTCTGAATTCGAATACATGGATTAAGTAAAGAATATGCAAATCAAGTTATTACATTACCAAACACACCGAAATGAACTGCCAATACAAATAATTACATACCAATAGTAGCCCAAAACACGTATAGCTTATCACCAATTTGCTCCAGTTTTTGATAATAAGCTAACCTCCAAGACCTGATGAAAAACAGAGGAGCCACAACTCCCCAAAACCCCATCACAAATCCAAGCACTATGCTCACATAAAGCCAATTCACCTTAGATCTTTTCTTTCCTCCACTGCTACCTCCATTTGTAAAATCAGGTGTTCCGCCATTTCCGCTGCAATTTTTAGTGACTGGAGGTCCGCAAAGATGATTGCCAATGTAAGAAGACCTGTCAAAGCTTTGGAGCTGGGTGCCTGATGGGATTTGTCCTGTCAAGTTGTTGTAGGACAAGTTGAAGTGATTCAAGAAATTCAAATTGGAGAAACTTGGAGGGATTTCACCATGGAGTCGGTTCATGGACAAGTCAAGAGATTCCAACACCTCTATATTGCCAATGTTCTCTGGTATCTTTCCTGTTAGGAGATTCCCTGACAAATTTAATGACCGCAGCCACTTGAGATTACCAAGTTCTTTGGGGATCTCTCCTGTGAGATTGTTAACTGAAAGGTCAATGCCAGTAACAAGTCCTAGTATGGTACTGTATTCATCCTCTCTTCCTTTCATCACCAATATTGCACCTAAATTAAACCAGTTAACACCGTTCAATGAAAATATGGGGTAACGCCAGTGTTGGCCGAAGGGTTTTGTGGCCATGGCACTTAGGTTGCTAAAACATTTTGGAATAGCTCCTGAAATGTTGTTATAACCAAGATCCAAGACATGAAGAGAATTAAGAGCACAAATCTGATCAGGAATACAGTCTTGAAAGTTATTTGAACGGAGGTTTAGAACCACAAGGTTTGAGAGCTTCTCTCCAATCCATGCTGGAATACTACCCGTCAATTGATTTTCACTAAGATCAAGAACAAGCATATTAACTAGGTGCTGCAATATGGATGGTACTTCTCCAAACAGGTTATTGTTACGAAGGCTTAATGACTTAATAAGACGCACAGATCCCAAGGATCTAGGAATTTTCCCAGTTAGATTGTTGTTTCCTAAATTTAGGACTTCCAACATTGGCATATTTTCCCAACAATCTGGAATTTCACCTGACAGAAGATTTGATTCAACGTGAAGAATGTTCAAAACTTTCAGTTCGTTTGAGGGATTACAAAGAAAATTAGAAAGTGATCCTGAAAAAAAGTTCTTGGACAAAAATAAATCCCCCAAATATGAGAATATTGCCCGTGGCAATGGACCTGTGAATAGGTTGGAACTAAAGTCAACCGTCGAACTAATCGGTAAATATGAA